TGAGGATGCCTTTCCGCCGGGTGGGGAGACCCTGGGGGCCCTGCTCTGGGGAGGGGTTGTCAGCAAACACGTTCCCATCAAGGTCCAAGCTCCCCGCATCCAGGACATCCCCAGACTCGCAGCACTCCAGGGATGAGTAATAACCCGACTCCCTCGTCGGGGGCTTTTTCAGTATTCCCTTGGGCACGGCTGTGGCCACTGCCCCCACGCCCACCTTGCAAGCCAGCATCCCAGAGGACAGGATCCGGGTGAGACCTGCAGTGGCCACCTCACCATCCTCACCCCTCGCCTCTCCCATGGGCACAGCTGGTGGGGGACCAGGGCCGGGCACCTTCTGCTCACAGGAGTTTCTCTTCTTCAGGATGCCCTTGGGCCGCTTGAGGATGGACTTGGAGGGGTTCTCCGGGGCCAAGGTCACCTCCTGCAGCACGTGGGAGACGTCATTCTCCTTCTTGGATTTCTTGAGGGAGCGCTGCCGCTCCAGGGCCACGCTGGGGATGTGTTGCTTCAAGAAGCATCGCACCTTGGAGCTGTTCTCCAGGAGGGGCCGGGAGGAGCGACGAAGCCACTCTGCCACCGTGGCCAGGGGGGACTCGCTCTCCCGTAGCAGCTCTTCCTCCCCAATGGGTACTTTGTAGCCCCAGTTCACCCACCAGTGCGTGGCGATGTCCTCGATGGTGGCACGGCGCTCTGGGTTCACCATCAGCATCCACCGGATTAGCCCACAGGCATCTGGGGAAGAAGCAGGTCAGGCACCGAAGGGAACACGGGGAGGGAGGATGGGCAGGGTGGTGGGGGTCTGCCTACCAGACAGCTTTGTGGGTTCCCGGTAGTCTCCACTCGTGATCTGCTTGACCAGAGTCTTGTAGTCGTGGCCATCAAAGGGCATCGTGCCATGGACCAGGATGTAGAGGAGAACGCCTAGGGACCAGCTGTCCACCTGCCAGAAGGAGAGATGAGCCTGGAGAGGGGCAGCAGGACTCAGCTGCCCTGGTTCCCACCCCAGCTGGGCAAGAACCCCCTCCCCAAAGCTTCAGCAGCAGCTCTTGGGATCTCCAGCCACCTGCATCCCACCACATCCACCCCACCATGTCCACCACACACCAACCATGCAGCGCTTGGTCTTAGGGGACCTGTTACCCCAAACCACACAGGCAGAGCTCTGCCCTTGATGCTCTGCTGAGAAAAACCCCCAGCACTTTCCTGACTCCAAGCAAAGAGCAGCAAGATGTTCCCCCAGCACAGGGTGTGAGGCACAACCTACCTCCGGGCCCTTGTAGGGCCTCCCATTGATGATTTCGGGGGATGCATAGAGAGGGCTGCCACAGTAAGTCTGTAGAAGCTTGTCCTGCTGGTAAACGTTGGACAGGCCAAAGTCTGCAATCTAGAGAGACACGTACAGCTGTTATTGAGCAGCAACATCCTCCTTTGCAGGTGGAGCAGCAACACCACCTGAAGCTCTCCAGCTTCAAGCTTGGCTGAAACCAGGGCTGCCCTCAGCACCCTGGTCCTAGGTGCCCTCAGCCTCCTCAGGGAGCAGCATCAACCCAGCTTCCCACCCCCACGGCTGCTCTTGCTCTTCTTCCTCATCCCAGCAGCTGCCCTGCGGCTCTGCCCCTGCAGCCCCATCACCCGTGTGCTGCAAAGATGTGGTTAGAGGGCGAGCTGCCAGGCTCTCCTCCAGCTCATTCACAGCCACACCAAGGCTGCTTCAGTCCTACCTGCTCCACCCAGCACACAGGCACTCATTATCCTCGTCACCTCTCAGTGAGCAGAAGGCACAGTCCCTGCTTGCAAGCTCCCAATTGCAAAATTACCCCTTACAGAGATAAAGCCCCACAGCCTGTTTATCACCAGCCGCACCGATTCCCAGCCGCGGCCGTGCCCGTCCTCCCCGGGCGGCTGCAACGCTCCTGGCCAAGGCAAAAAGCATCGCTGGGGGCCAGTGGAACCAGGAGCTGCTCCACACCTCCCTCCACCAGCCTGGCCAGCACATACAGGGACTGGAACTTTCACTGGGAGGGCCCTTTCTTATCCAGCCAGTCGTGCTCTGACCTCAGCGTTCAGACTTTGCCCTCTTCTCAGCAGTCAGAGAAACATTCCGGCTTTAACAGGCAGCAGGGAGGCTCTGCCTCTGCCTGGCACAGAGAGCAGGGGACAGGTACAGGCACCCTCCTGGCTCCCCATCTCCTGGGCAAGCAGCAGCATGGGCAATGCCAGTGGTCCCAGAGCCAACAGACACTTTCCAAAGCTGCAGAGAACCATGTTCCATGGGGGATCGGGGTGTTTGGGCCACCTCCAGTCCCTCCACGCTGGGCAGCAGCCCTTAGACCACCCACCTTTGCTGGGTGACACCTACAGCGTGGCCAGGCTCTGCCAGCCTCTCACCTTGATGTTCCCGTTTGCATCGAGAAGGATGTTCTCCAGCTTCAGGTCCCTGTGAACGATCCCATTCTGCAGGAGGGAAGGGAGAGCCGGGTTCAGTTCCCAGTGTTTGAGGAAGGGAAAGTCAGGCAGCGCAGGGAGGTCACTGCCGTTCACCGGCACCGTGGCACCCAACCAGGACATGGTGACGGCAATCAGAGGAGCAGTAAATAACCCTGGGTGCGTGGATGAGGACGGGCTGTAAACCACGTCCTGACATGGGTGCTACCAGCTGCCTGTGCTGCTCAGGAGCATGAGCAGGGTGGCACCGTGCTGGGCTTCCACACCCTCCACAGCTACCTACCCATGAGAGCTGGGGTACGGGGTGCACAGCTTTGTGCTTCACCAGGACCTGCTGCTGTCCAGCTAAACAAGACCCCGATTTGCTTTGGGTTCCAGAGGTGCCCTGCACCCCCCCTTCCTGCCAAGGGCAGGTGGGCACTCAGGATTGAGGCATGACCAGGCACAGCCTTAGAGCATCCTCCAAGGAGACCCACAGGCTCGAGGGTCCTTCCAGGGCAGGCATGGCTCATCCCACAGCCCCAGAGAGGGTCCTGCAGCTCTACATCCCCTTCAGAGGACAAGAATCATAGAACATTG